CAGGGATGGGGATTTTGCTGAAGTATATCCAGAGAGTGTCAGGTCTGGGTGACCCTGATTTCTGTCTTTCTCATAAGCTCCCAGGTGACGGCCATGATGCTGGCCCGCCATGATGCTGGCCCAAGAGCCACTTCAGCTGGAATATTCTTGATCATCCCTAAATTTTGATTTAATGTTATTTGAAGGTAACACAGATTAAGCACTTGATAAAATTATTGCATTTATAGCAAGTTTTAATTTTGTGCTGTTGAGGTAAATCAACTGGTGTGGGCTCTGAGTCCATCTTGATTCTCAGTCTGCTTCTATTCTATTTGTTAAGTAGAAAGCAATTGTACGTGGCGCCTATGATCTTTTCCAAATGCTAAAATTCTCTTCTTTGTAAGTCTTGAAGCAACATAAAATGTTACATCATCACCTTTTATTTAACACCAACTACAGGAGTTCCAGTTAAAAGCATTTCAAGTAGCATATAGGCTCCTTGAGATCTCAAGGTCCTTAGGGTATTTAAGTTGACCTATGCATTTAATACTGATGGGAGTATTAACACTGTAAGACAATGAAAGTACAGTAAGCTACACAGCCCTGTGATAGTTTGAGTAATAGCCACCAGAGGCTCATGTCAGTGTGACCTTGTTGGAGGGAGTGTGCCACTGGGGGTGAGCTTTGAGGTTTCCAAAGTGCAGGCCAGGCCCAGTCACTCTCTGCCTAAGGATCAGGATATAGAACTCTCAGCTAATTCTCCAACACCATGTCTGCCTATGTGCTCTCATGTTCCCCACCATGGTAATAATGGACAAACCTATGAAACTGTAAGCAAGCCCCCAATAAATGCTTTCTTTTGTAGAGTCGGTTGGTCACGGTGTCTCTTCACAATAGAACAGTGACTGAGACAGCCCCTAAGGTTTTTCAGTTGAAGATTCCTTGACATTCCTCCGGAGGAATGGTAGCAGTTGTGCTAAGTTAATTTTGAAAAACAGAGCCTAATTTATTTTGCATGAAAATGTCTGGGACATTAATTATTGGATGACTGCAATTCAGAAAGAACTATCCTCAGAGATTCTCATGACTTTCACAATCTGATGATTGTTATCAAGAAAATGAAATCCTCCAAGGCCAGGAGGTGGGGTACTGTATTCTTCACAAGCTCATATCCGACCCCCATTAGATTATCCTGCAAATACCCCAGTCCTCTAGGGTGACTGGCAACTCCTGACAGCTTCTCCTAACATCACCACTCTCCACTGACTTCTGGATTACCCCTTTTCACTGGAGAGGTTGATCTTGGTACCCCAGCAGCTGCCAATCCTCCAAGACTTTGCCATTCCAGGAGATAAAGTTGTTGTTGTTGTTGTTGTTGTTATTTTGCTTTAGTTTTTGTTCTTTGAGACAGGGTTCCCTGTGTACCCCTGGCTGTCCTGGAACTCACTCTACAGACCAGGCTGGCCTAGACTCAGAGATCTGCCTGCCTCTGCCTCCTCTCAGATGCTGGGATCAAAGGCGTGCACCACCACCTCCCAGCAAGTGCACCACTATGCCGGGTGGAGATGAATAAACCTCTTAGCCTCAGGGTCTCTTGTTTCCTTGAGTTACTCATCAAAGGCAATGAGTCTCTGCCTCCACCTGCCATTTACTTTCTGGTATTTCTGAGCACTATCTAGTACCTTTCTGATAACCTTAATTTAAATGCTCACACTGCTATGTCTAGAAGGCAAAATTACTTTTCTCTGTGAACCTCAAATTCTATTTCATTGTGGTTTCTCTCTAAACGCTGTCTATATTGAGAGTTATTCCCTTGAAAAGATCCTCCACTCTTACCACCATATACACTTGGTAAAACTCTGGAAGAACCCAGCTACCCATTTTCTCTGTATCTGCACTCAGCTTGGTGCAGAATGCTAAAGAAAAATCAGACAACCAAGTTCTTTGACCCAATCATACATTCATGATGGCCACCTTCACTCACCAAAGGCCAGTCTACCCACACTGTCCTGGAGACCATCTTTTTTTTGCCTCCAAAGGGCATATAGTTGTGGCCTTTCTCATGACATCTCAAACAGGTTCAAGGATCAACTCTTTTTCTGCAACAGACCTGCTTCTGCTAGTCTACGTTTCTTCATCTCAGTAAATTGGGACCATTTCCCACCAGTTGCTCAAATGAGAACTCTGGGGGCCAATTGATATTCTTTGCTTTCCTTCAGCCTTGATATAAACTCCTGTTCTTCAAAATATTTCTTGGTTTCACAGTATTGCCCTGGCTGGTCTGGAACTTGCCTCATAGAGGTCTGCCTGCCTCTGCTGAGATTAAAGGTAGGTGCCACCAACACAGCCTCTTTAAAATAGTTCTTAAGCCTTCTTCACTGACATCAGCACACCCAGCTGTTTATCCTTTCTCACTGCAAGCTTTATCCCCCCCCCCCCCCCCCCCCCCCCCCCCCCCCCCCCCCGCATCTTTGAGACATTGTCTCCCCATGCTGCCCAGGCTGGTCACAAATTCCTGGGCTCAAGTGATCCTCCTGCCTCAGTATCTGGTACTTTAAGCACATGTCACTATGCCCAGCTTGCAAACACCTTCTAAATGGTCAGCCTAGCTTCATCTTTATCTCTGCCCTTTACACAACCATTCTCCACCATCGCAAATGTTTCTCTTCCTTAAAAACTAGTGGCTTCTTTTACTTAGAATCACAGCCACCTTTCTGGCTGTGACCTAAAAGGCCCTAGATATGACAGCCTCTGCTCACCTCTCCAGCCGTATCCCATGTAACCCTTATTTCCTACTGCCCAGCCCCAGAATCCTTTTCTAGAAGTAGAAAAGACTGAATCACTTTTCCATCCTGGGAACTCTGTCTCCTTACTGGAATGATTCACTCCAGCCCACCCACCCCCAACCTCTTTCAGCCCTTAAGTTCCTGGGGAGTTATTTTAAACAATTGTTTATTTTGCTTTTTTACCATATGCTTACTCTCTCCAACACACACACACACACACACACACACACACACACACACACACATTCTGTCCATCCTATCACCACACTGCCTGGCACATACTAAGTATGTAATAAATATTCTTCGTTACTAAGTGCATTTTTTATAAATGCCAAGGCCAAAGAAAATGTAATGAGTCTCTAGGCCAGATCTCTCTTTCTGATAGTCAGGATCTGTGGGCCCCAAAAGATTAAGTGATGTGTCAGTGTCTTGGCTCCCTCAGAATCACGGTTATAAGCTGAGCAGGGAGTAACCGCGCGCGATTCCTGATATTCGGCCTGCACCTTTTCCTGCACCTTTTCTCGCCGGCCTCGCCTTTTCAGCTTTTGCTGCCTCTTTATTCTCATTTTTCTCTATCATTTATAATCATTTTAAAATTCTGCCTTCATCTGTGTTGTGTTCCAGTATTAAAATACAATTATGCTCATTCAGTAGAAGTGCATTTTCCATGGTACCAGGACAATGAAAGTAATTTGGACGGAGCTTCTCATTTTCATCTTTCACAATTAGCTAAACTTGTCGTTACTGAAACTGTCTCCTTTCCCTCCCCCAACTGATGGACTAGCTGAGCGTCAGAAACTGCAGCAGCGAGGCCACCACTACCTCACTCACACCTCTCCAGGCAGCCTGGTAGCTGCTCTGATGTTGCTAAATATCTAGGATGCATATTTTTTTCTCTCCAAATAGGTTATCTTGCTTGTGAGGAGAAAGTGCAGTGCCAAATAAAGAAAAAAAAATCAACCAAATAAACAATAAAAAAAGATGGGGGGGGGTAGATTGGGGACGAGGAGGCTGCAAGCAGTGGGGCAGTTAACTGGGACTGGAGGCTAATCAAGACAGGAGAGTGAGGTGGGGGCAGGAGTCTGGGTTCTAGTTCGCCCGAGTGATGGAGCAATAACTAAACGTGGCCTGGCGTAAGTTCTATGTTTAAAAAAAGAAAAGAAAAAGAAAAGAAATAGAAAAACTACCTGCCAGAAGATTGAAAAGCTCACACCAATCCGGCTCTACAGGATAGTGGAGACAATAAATGGAAGCCTCCCGTCCAAAAAAAAAAAATCTCTTTATCTCCCTATGTTATTTTAAGAGCAAGATTTTTAGGACATAATTTTCAACAAGTTTCAGTCGAGGCTGAACACGGGACACGGAGATAATTAAGGACACTAAAAGAACAGACCAATTACTTCTAACGCAAAATGGCCTGAACACACCAGGATCGCAGTAGCGGGTAATAAGCAAAGCCACTGCTGGCATTATTTACCTGTTTGCCAAGCAGCGCTTCCTAACCGGGAAAAGCGCTGCATCAATCCAAAGTGACTGGTAAAAGTAGCCTGCGGGTCCTTTGCCTTTCGGGCACGTCCTACCTGGGACAAGGTCTCTCCTGGCCTCCTTTCTGCTGGGCCCGACCTGGGGACTTCCCCGGGGCTCCCGGAGGACCAAGGGGACAGGGGGGCGGAATGGGTTGCGACGGACGCCCTTCCGCACCCCTCCCACCTGGCAGCTCGGCGCCCGCCGAGTCCCAGAGAAAGGATGCGGCACCCGGCGCCCGCAGCCCGGCGACCCCGCACTCCGCCACCCCCGGGCTCTCCCCCAGCTCGCTCACCTCCGCGCCCTCCTCTCCGGGCCTCGCAGCGCCGCGCCGTGGCTCCCACGCGCCCAGGGCCCGCCGAGCTCCCGGGCCTAGGAGCGCTCCTCCCGCCCGCGATGCTCCCGCCCCCCAGCCGGACCGCGCCGGGGAGGAGGAGCAGGGGGAGGCGCGCCGGGGCAGGGCTGGCGGTGACGCGCGGGGGGCGCGGGGCGCGGGGAGGGGCGGGGACCACCCGGGGCCGCCGTCCCCCCCCCCCACGCCTGCGCGCGCTCCTGCGGAGACCCCCGTGGAAGCAGCCCCGGGGGAATCCAGCCCGCGTCTACACTCCACCACCTCCGAGACGCCCGCCACGCCGCTCCGGACTTGGCTTTGATTAGTGCCCTCCTCCCTTCCCACCCCCTTTCTCCAGAGCTACTCTGTTCCACACAAACCTCGAAGAAACTGCGCTTTTTCTTCGGGCTCGATTATGTCCTTGAAAGAGAAGGATCAGAAATGCCCTTTCAGGAACCGCGTTTTAAAACTCCCCGCGACGGGAGGCCGTTCGTTCGCAGCGGTGGCCTGCGGGGATTCGTCTGTGGACCCTGACCTTCACTGTCGCCCGTGCGCGCCCAGCTCGGTGGGGACTGGAAGGTTAAAGCCGCGAGTCAGGAGACCTGCGTGCCTGCGGAGAGCTGCTTACTTCCAGACTCTGCAGTGGCCTTGGAGCATCCAGGGTTCGCTGAGCTGTGTAAGGGCACCTTGGGTTCTGGCTGTCTGTAATTTTTTCCCCATCCTTTTGGTTACCAAGTAGGTAGGTTTCTTTTACCCTTTCGGTCAAAAGTATTAGTGCAGATATTTATTTTTTAATATAAAGTGAATTTATCAAAAATTCTCAAATTGGGGCTTTTTTTTTTCTCCCCCAGAGGTTAGTTGCTTCTCATTTCGGCAAATTAGGTTTAAAAATTATCTTCCTTGGTGGTTTATTAACTAGGCAAAACAGAACGAAACCAGAAGAGGGTCTTGGATCGATCCCGGGGCACTGCACTTTCCCCTTTGAAAACCATACACAGATTAACCTCTGCAAGAACGACTTAGGAAACACATCCTTTGTTTGATCCTCGTGAAAACTGTTTCTTCCCCACCCCCAAACAGGGTTAAGGTTTAGAGTTTAGGCATAAACTCAGCTCTTAGTGAAGTGTCAGGGTGTGGAGGCATCGACAGCTGGTAAAATACTTTCCATTTTGGTAACTGGGAAAAAAATCCTTATGTTTTATATCAGTGTTATTTCACTTCAACTACTGTCAAATATGAAAACAGCAGGGTATTTATTTCTAACACTTCTGGGGTACCATTGGGAAAAATTGTTGTGTCTTTAGGATTTGATGAGAAGATATAGCTTTTCTGTCACATAAACAAAAGCATTATATAATGTCTAGCAAAGGTTAGTCCGATTTTTTCTTAGTAGTATAAACCATAAGTTATCATAGAAAACATAGGTAAACTACACATTTACAATATTTTTAAAAGCTGTTTACACATGGGCTCTGCTTATGTAAAAAAATGAAGTAATATGTGAGATCATTTACCTCCCAGTGAATGAATGAGTCAACAACGTGCAGTTTCCAGAAGGAATATCTGTTTTTCATACTTGAACTATTAAAATAAGCAAACATCCTCGGTGGGTGGAAAATGCCGAGTTGCCAAATGTACTCCAAAGATGGCCATTGCAGCTACAGAGCACAGCTCCCGTCTGGTCCATTTCATGAGCCAGTGGTCATTTTTACCAGTGTGTTCTGGTTACAGTTTCAAAGTATGTAAAGCTAATTTCGCAAGCCTTTTCCAGGTCATGAGGCACTCACTGAGAAACATCCCCAGTTCCCTGAAGTAACTCATCCCTACTGAAGCACAGCAATAATTCATTAAGCAAATCTCTAGTGGCCCAGAGGTGTTAACATAATTTCTGCTTTGAAGTTATTATACAATTGAATAACTTTGAAATGATAATGCCTAAGGAAGCTTTAAGCACCTGGAGCTCTCTGGAAACTCATTCACTAAGAACATGTTTGCTGAGTTCCTGCCGTGTGTCCTGGATGGCGGGCACCCTTGAACAATGCAGAAGACAGACTGTCTGCCAACTGTTGTTTGGTGGGAGAAGATAAATGTACACCAGTCCTCCATGTGTGAAGTAAGTGTAAAGCATGATAAAAACAGTAGACTTTGGGCATATAATAGGTAGGATCATCACTCTAGAGAGCCATCGTGCACATTAGTGGGTTAAAGGCTCTGTGACTTTCTACACTAAAGACACTCACTTGGCCCTTTCTCAGCAGATACCATTTTGACAGTACAGAGTCTGTGTGAATAATGCTTATTGATAAATGACCTTTGTATGAAATTCTGCTTTTTTTGAAATTAAATAATTCAATAAACATAAAAATCAGTCGATACTACTTAAAATTTATTTGTGAATGCATATTTATATATTTCAAGATATATATGTGCATATGTGTATAAACTGTTTGAATTAAATTTTGTTTAAAGACTGTGGTGGTTTGAATAAGAATGGCCCCCATAGGCTCATATATTTGAATACTTGGTCACCAGGGAGTGGCACTATTAGGAGGTGTGGCCTTGTTGGAATAGGTGTGGCCTAATCACAGGAAGTGTGTCACTAGGTTGGGCTGTGAGCTTTCAAAAGCCCAAGCCAGTCCAGTAGTCTCTCTCTTCCTGCTACCTGCTAGATGTAGAACTCTCAGCTCCCTCTCCAGCACCACGTCTGCTTGCGTGTGCCTTGTTTCCCACAATACTGATAATGGACTAAACCTCTGAACTGTAGTTGACCACCAATTAAATGCTTTCCTTTATAAGAGTGGTGGTCATGGTGTCTCTTCACAGCAACAGAAAGTTGACTAAGACAAAGACAGAATATGAAACATTTATAAAGCAATAAAATGATATGTGGGGGCCCACAGAGGCTCTCTGTTAAGGCCTTGCTCAAGGTCAGAGAGTCTGAGCTTGCTTTACCAGCAGGGCTGCATAATGAAATGATTTGACCACGGGCGTGGTTACCAGGTGTTTGGAAAGGTCTACACTTTGCTATACGGTGTGCTTTGATCTTTGCCTCTTCCCTTGACATATTATAAAAAGCCCTTTTCAATATAGGACAAGGCTGTTGGGTATTGACCCAGGCCCTCCTGAAGCTATCCTGTGTTTCTGTCTTTCTTGTTGTCTTGTCATCTAGGTCTCTCTTTCTATCTGGTATTTTCTTATCCCTCTCTCCTCCACCTAAGAACCCTTTGAAAGGTGGGAGCTGGACTCCCACAATGATACAAATGTGTGTCTGTACAAAACAAATATTTTATAGTTGACGTTATTTCAAGAACATCTTTCCATCAACATAATTCAGGGGCTTTTTTTCTTCTTTAAGCTGGTCTCACTGTGTAGCCCTTGCTGTTCGGGACCATGCTATATAGACCAGGCTGGTCTTTAACTCTTCTGGAGTGCTAGGATTAAAAGCATGTACCACCACACACACCCAGAGAAAATTAGTAATGCCTATGTACTCCATAGTACAATATGTAGCAGTCTAACATAAAGCTTTAAGAAAATACATTTTTCAGCTGGCCATGGTGGCACATGCTTTTAATCCCAGAACTTGAGAGGCAGAGGCAGGCACACCTTTGTGAGTGCAAGGCCAGCCTAGTCTACACAGAGAGCTCCAGGCCAGCCAAGGCTACATAATACGACACTGTCTCAAAAAAAAAAAAAAAATTTCCAGTTCCTTTTATGTTATGAGTAATACTGCTTTAATATCTTTGCATAACTTACTCTTTAGGATATTAAGTGGAGAGAATATTTCTTTAAGATATATTCCAAAATGTGGGTTTGTTTAAAATTACTTTTATGGGACTGGAGAGATGACTCAGCAGTTAAAAAGCACTGGCTGCTCTTCTAAAGGACCCAGGTTCAATTCCCAGGTGGTAGTGTTGGGAACAGGCAAAAAAAACACCTTGTCCTGAGTACTGCCAATTTGATTTCAGACTCCATTTTACCTGTAGGGTGAAACAAAGTTCAGGTTTCCAAGCCCTAGGGGAGCTGAGAACCTTCCAATGGCTAACCTACTCCTCCTTAAACCATAGAAATAGTCGTTATGCATCTTGAGTTCTCTAGAAACATCATGGCTGTTCCTAACAACACAAGGAACAAATGAATCTGATTGGTTGGACTGAAAGACTTGCATTGTGTGTCAGTTGACAATGACAGAACATTCAAGGAAGTCCCTAATCTCCAAATCCTGATTGGTGAAAATTGTAACTGTAACTTGGCAACAAATGTTTGTGATTTTTGTGCTGGCATTCGGGCTGCAGCTCAGCTCCTAGTCTGTTCTGCAGCCCTGATCGATCTGACCCTTCCCTTCCCCGCTTCTTCTGTGCTGCCCTGCATTAAATCTCGCCTCACAGTAACCTCTTGTGTCTGCTCGGATTGATTCGGAGCCTCAGACCACAACAGTGGCTTACAGCTGTCTGTAACTCCAGGTCCAGGGCGTTTGACACCCACTTTGGGCCCCCCTGGGCACCAGGCATACATATGATACACAGACATGCATGTAAGCAAAACACCCATAAAATAAAGAAAATCAGATTCTTTTAAATTATTTTTGATTATATTTCTTATTTCTTTCTATGACTTTAAGATTTGTTATAGAAAAATATGAGTGTACATTTGTCTTTCAAATTCAACATCTCATTAGCAATAGATTTTTTTATGTTGTTTAAGCAGATTAAGAACACTTTAGAATATATGTAATTAAAATGGACACATGGAAAACAGCACAAATACCTGGCATACCTTGGTTGGTAGTGTTGTCAGTAATCTACTATTTCCCTCCTAATATGCATCTCCTCTGTAAATTCTTTCAGTTAATTTTGTGGTAATAAAAAAATAAGCTATGAGCTCACAGAGTTGGCTCTGCTGGTCAGAGCAATTGCTGCCCTTGAGGTGGACCCAGATTAGGTTCCCAACACCCACAGGATGGCTCACAACCGTCTGACTCCAGTTCCAGAGCATCTGATGCAATCTCCCGGGTACCAAACCATGTATATGGTGCACAGACATATATACAGGCCAAACACCTGCCCACAGAAGATAAAATAATCTGAAGGAATTTAAATTACAATAATGCTTAGAGAAGTCAAAACCTATAGATCAGCAAAGCTGACCTAGGCCCATGCCCCATCAAGAAGTCAAAATCTGAGTAGAGCCCCAGTGGAAGGATCTTTGTAACGTTCCTGTAGGAGAAATCTTTCTAAAGCTTCAAAAGGAATAGACCAGGCAGCATATCAGTAAGGCTCTGTATTTCTTCATAGCTTTGAAGTGAGCAGAAAGCCATGGAGACAGCTAGCTACCATGACCTCACAGCTTCCAGCCCCTGACGAGCTGGATAGAATTCATGGATACCAGCGGTCACTTCCAGAGTTTTTCTGATAACGATCAGGCAAACGCTATATACAAATACAAAAATAATCACATACTCATGTCTTGACATGTTGATGCTTAAATTTAAATACTAGTAAATGCTACTTGTTTGTTAAAAGGCACTGATCTAATGGGGCATGGTGGCACATACCTTTAATCCCAGCATTTAGGAGGCAGAGGCGGGCAGATCTGTGAGTTCGAGGCTAGACAGGGCTGCAGAAGACCACATCTCAAACAAAGCCAAACAAAAAGACCATCTAATTCTGACTATTGGGAACTTAGTCCACATTCAAAACAGAATTTAAATTGTAGATATTTTTGAGATGTTACTATCCTCAAGCACTTAAGATGTGGTGTTTTGTTTGTTTGTTTGTTTGTTTAAGGAGCTAGGTGTGGCAGCATTACCTATAACCCCTGCACTAGGAAGGCCGACACAGTAGGATTTCAAGTTTGAGAGGACCTATGTAACCACTCTGCTTCAAAGAAAAGATAGCAAACCTTGAAAATTCCTTACCAGTGAATTTAATTTGGGGTTTCATGAACTACCACCTTGTAACTGAGTAAAAGCATGAGTAAAAACTGAGTAAAATTTCACAGCACACATAAATAAAAACACACATACATGTATTTTATTAACCTGTGCTTATAGATGGTAATAGTTTCATATATTTTCATGAACAATGTATTTTGATGACATCACCCCCTATTATCCTCTTCTGTCCTTTTTCCACTCCTGATGATTTCCTCCTCTTCCAATAGATAGTCCCCGTGTGTGTGTGTGTGTGTGTGTGTGTGTGTGTGTGTGTGTGTGTATGTCTGTGTGTGGGTGTCTGTGTGGGTGTCTGTGTGTGTCTGTGTGTGTGTCTGTATGTGTGTTTGTGTGTGTGTCTGTGTGTCTCTGTGTGTGTGTGTGTGTGTGTGTGTGTGTGTCTGTGTGTGTGTGTATGTCTGTGTGTGGGTGTCTGTGTGGGTGTCTGTGTGTGTCTGTGTGTGTGTCTGTATGTGTGTTTGTGTGTGTGTCTGTGTGTCTCTGTGTGTGTGTGTGTGTGTGTGTGTGTGTGTCTGTGTGTGTGTCTGTGTGTCTCTCTGTGTGTGTCTGTGTGTGTGTGTCGCCTCCCACTGTTTCATTAAGGTTGCTTACAGGAACATGAGTGACAAACCATTCATAGGAACATGGGCACCTCACTGGTGGCTACACCACTGAAGAAAATGCATCTCCCTACCCCAGCAACCATTGCCCATAGATTCTCAGGGAGGGGAGGGGCCTCATAAGCCTCTCCTCCCTGGGTACTATTAGCTGTCTATAAGTACTCAGGGAGGGCGGGGCTTCATGAGTCCCTCCTACTCCATGACAGGAGGCCTTTCAAAGGCCCAATCTTGTGCAGATGATGACAGCCGAGCTCACAGTTTGCATTTCCTTGCAATCTGTCAACCCTTGAAGAGAATTCATAACTGAATGACAGCAAGAACAGCATCATTATTACAGATGGATTAACAGAAATGTATCTCATATATTCAACCAGGTTACTTTTGTCAGAGCAAACACACATACACATACACATACACATACACATACACATACACCAAGGTTTTTTGTTTTTGTTTTTGTTTTCCGAGACAGGGTTTCTTTGTGTAGCTTTGTGCCTGTCCTGGAACTCATTCTGTAGCCCAGGTTGGCCTCGAACTCACAGAGATCTGCCTGCCTCTGCCTCCCGAGTGCTGGGATTAAAGGCGTGCGCCACCACCGCGCGCAGCCACATAACCAAGGTTTTAAGTAGCAATGATGTTTGGTTCTTGGTGAACTTGGCTTGGGAAGCTAGGGCCCTGGAAACTCAATGGCCACCAAAGCTGCCTTGATCAGTGGCTTTCCCATTCTTGTCTCCTGAACTGGAAGAATTAAAATTCAAGGCCCAAAGTGAGTGAGTTTTAGGAAGAAGTTTATCATAGACTCATGGGTGGAGGCTTAAGAGGAAGACGGGGTCAGGGAGGGGCTTGCACAGAGCTCCCTTCATGGCAGGAGGGGTCCTGGGTGCCTTGGATTTACTAGTCTGGGATTGAAAGGACTGTGGCAGAGACTGGGTTTACATGTGGGGAGAGGATAAGCTGGCCAGTCCAGTTGGGAGAGCCATCCCGTGTCGGTGTCGAGGAGAGGAACTCACATAGGAGATAACAAAGAAACAGCAACCAGAACCCTCTCCTGCATTCCTGCCCTCCAGCAAGGTCATTCTCGGACTGTCGGACTGTCGCTCTGGGGCCCCTGCCCTCCCTGACCAGTTTCTAACTTCTGTTCTCATCAGCCAGATTGTCCTGACAGCAGTGTAAAACACCAAGGTCAGAATTATGTAACAGGACCTTTTTACAGCGAGTAGGAAGGCTGAGGGTCGTTATCCGTTCTAAGCAACTTTCAGGAGTCAGTAGCTGAGGAATCTAAAGAAACATTAACAAGTTCCAACACCACATGGAAAGACTGCACCATTTCCTTCAGCCATTCTTTTAAAGGGGCAAAATTAGATGCAGCTATGTGGATGAGAAAACCTTTTCTGTTACCCGTGCATAGTCCACAATCTCTATGAGCGGTCCCTCATTCTCACGCAGGATGCCCCCACAGAGCTGTCTTGCATTGTTCTGTTAACCTGGCCTAGGACCCCGGGGAGGCAGGACTGTGCTCAGGCCTGCTGTGCCCAGTGCTGGGGTTGGCTATGGGCGTCTCTGCTCTTACCACCTCTCCGTTAGTCACACCTGGCTGCCAAGATAGCTCTATGGTGAGCAACAGCACCTACTGGCTACTGTGTATGTATGAAACTCACACGCTGCTAACTCTGTACATTCTGTATAACATGAAATTTAGAGATACCACATACATGGTTTTTAGCCACAGATACATAGAGTATTAAAAGCACTAAAATCACTTTGAAACAGTTGCATACAAAAGTTGTCACTTATAAGTTAAGCGTAAAGCAAGCTGACACTTAAATGAATCTTAGCCTTAAGACAATTTCCTAAGCCAAAAGTCTGAAATGTGAACTTGAACAATTTTTAACAAAGCATAAAATTAGACTCTCTCCCGTGGTCTTCTGTCATGTCCTACACTACATACAGGTTGGCACCGTGAGACAAAGAGTAAGACGATGCTGTGTGACTTCCAAGGTCGGATCGCCAGGACACTGATAGTTCCTGACTTAGCCTTTTGGAATGTTTACTCCAGGTGAAGCAAGTATCTCTTTAAAATTTTTATCAAGACCTCCCCTGCTGTGAGGAAGCTTCGTAGAGAGGCTACATGGAAAGAGAGATGCCTGATGGGCACCAGCTGATCTACGGTGGGGGCAGGGACAGGACTGGGGTGGATCACCCCAAGTGAAAAAGCTACCTTGCACTTTCACACGTCAGAGGATCAGATGACTTCAGCACCCTGCTACTGTCTGAAGATAAAAACCTCTGAATGAGACTCACTATGCTGAGGGGAGCGAACTCCTAAGAATAAGAAAGAGAGCATATTGTTTTAAACTGTCATTTTGGCGTGATTTAGTTACACACCAGTGGATAACACAATAAGGACACAACCTCCCTGTTTTCTGTTTTGATTAATTATATGTAATATGGTCTGTATTTTTCTCATACAAATGGTTCAACAACTTCTAAAATACAAGTATGAACGGGTCTTCAGCAAACTATATTCTCTCTTGCACTGTTATTTCAAACAGTCACACAAAAGCATCAGTTCATAGCTTCTTACCATGTCATCATCCTTTTGATGTGCAGGTTAAGATAGCAGACTCTGGAGATGATTGAATTGTCGTTGACGTTCCAAATCCTGTTGTCAGAACCGGATGAGAGAACCAGATTTAAGACGCAAATCCAGCTACAGGATCTATAAACACAAATGTTTGACCTTTGTGACTGTGAGGGATCAGAGTGGATTAGTGACGACAGAGGAGATGTTAAAACTGGTCTGTTTGGAGCTCTGTTTTATTAACCTTTTTTAGTTAACTAATTAATTTTTAAATTCATTACCATGTATTTTGACCACGTTTTTCTCCTGCCCCAGCTCCTCCCTATTTTATTTTATTAACTTTTA